ACGGTGCCACATCATGACCGAATGGAGGCCATGCGGACTGCAGTTCAGCCCGAACGGCAGCCGCATGTAGCGCACAGGACGTCCACAGATGACGCTTGACGTGAAGGGCTGGTCGTCCTTACATAAGTGGACCCTCAGGAAGGCTTGACGTAGATCACAGGCTTGGTAGTACTTGCAAGTACGCCACCCAATGAGAAAGAACCACAAACTCCCTGAAGCCCGACCTCGAATGGAAGTTTGCCGAATGAAACCGTTCAGAACTCTGGCGTCCAAGCATATCCTCACAGGGGTAGTGGCCGAATCTCGAAACACCGGCAGAGCAGGGATGTAGTACGACTGCTGCTCTGGTGGGCCAGTTAGGGGTACGACAATACTATCCTCTATCAGAGAGTCCACACAATCTTCGTAGAGACGGCGCTGTTCTGGGTCGAGTCGTCGCACTACACTGAGGTCTCTAGCCTTGGCTAGGGTGTAATTGAGCTTGGGGCGGTCGGAACTCAACCATGGCACAGAGATCGAGGGCCTCCCGTCGGGTGCGGTTGGGTCAGGCACTAGGGAGACATCGAGCAAGTTTTCGTCCCTAGGTAGATCGAAATAGTCATCACACGTGATCTCCTCAAGGGCAGTGGTGTTGGCAACAAGACGGCTTTCATGGTAATCAGTGGTGACAGTGTTCAGGCCGATCTTATTCAAGTCATGACGAAGATAAAGCGAGTCCCCATGACCATCTGAGATCACCCAGACTGCCCCGCCGGCCTCTCGAAAGACAGAGAGCGGGAGAATGAAAGGGTGGCTCAAGGTGGGGAATACTCGGATAGTGACAGGGATGACGATGCCGTCAAGAGTGATCTCCACTGTTCCTCGGCCAAGGACTGAGCATTGCCGGCCACCGTCAAAGGGTACCAGAGTGGTCTCGTCCGGAACTAAGTCAACAGTGACTCCCGTCTCACGCCAGCGCTCGAGCTCGGCAGTTGAGACCAGCGCGACCTCGGCACCAGAATCCAGCAAAGCGCGTGCAGGGCAGGTTTTGCTGGGGCCATTACCAGGAGTATTGACATGGAGCTCGAGAATCTGGAGCTGAGAACGGTCGGAACTGGTAGTGGTATGGACAGCATTGACTCCTGGCGGTGTGCTAGAAGTAGTGGGGTCGGAGATGTAGCAGAGCATACTCGGACCGTGGTCTCTTGCGGGGAGCTGGACAGGGCAGCCCGGCAAGTGACCATAGCACCGCAGCGTGCATGAGAGCCTGCACAGTGTGCCGCTGGGTT